TAGTCAGTTCTTATATTCAAGATCATCTCAAGTTCAGCCTTGAGGTGTTACGAACCAATAAGAGAGCCACATTAGCGTATTAAGACATTACTTAAGACGATCTTGAAATAAGAATCGACTATGAATACCGGCCCTAGTCTTCTTGACGAGAACACACGATAAAACTGGTTCTACATTAAGCTGGTTCTATATTAGTCGCATCGCTTCGTCGCAAGCGTTGCGGTCCAATCAACGTCAAGCTAGCTCTACTCTGATTGGACTGCAACGCTTGCGACACTGCGATGCGACTAAGGGTGGAATCCCATGAGGTGTATTTATCGCGTATCGCATAACCGCGTAACCAATCAGAAGCGATCTGCTGTTATAGTTTCGCGTTTTACTGATTATTGATTGGTTATGCGCTTACGCGATACGCGGCAAACATGCCTGATGGGACTTCACCCTAAAGCAGATTCTACATTAGTCGCATCGCAGAGTCGTAAGCGTTGCTATCCAATCAACATCAATCTAGCTCGACTTTGATTGGACCACAACGCTTGCGACACTGCGATGCGACAAATGTAAAACCAGCTTAATGGCTGCGTTCAGCAGAGAAAACTAATCAGCACTTAGTGATTCTTTAATACGATTGGTTCTTACCTTTAGTTCTTCACTGGATCTAAGTGTAAGAACCAATTATATTGAAGAATCACTAAGCACTAACCAGCGCTAACTGAAGGTTTATTCGCGTCGCAAGCTCCAACATGTTCCAATATGCTCCTATTCATTCTATCAAGCGTGTTGAAGTGAGTAAGAGCTATGGTAGGAACATGTTGGAGTATGTTGGAGCTTGCGACGCGAACAAACCTTGATTAGTTTTCTCTGAACGCAACCAATGGGCTCATTCAGCGGACTCAACAGTTGAGTGAGCGCTCGCTGTTATTGGTGTATTCTTTTAGATCATCCAATCATAATTTTAGATCTAGAAGAATACGTCAATAGCAGCGAACGTTCACTCAACTGTTGAGTTCGCTGAATGCAGCCAATGAAATTACGACTAATGCCTGCTGCAGACCAGCGCGATGTTTGTTGCGCGCGACACGCGATATCCAATGAGCGTACACCTTTACCGATGTTCTCATTCGAAAGTTATACGCTCATTGGATATCGCGTGTCGCACGCGACGAAAGTCGCGTTGATCTGCAACCGGTATAAAGATTACGACTGATGGCTCCTGCACACTGGGCACGGAAAAGCTTACCGCGCGGCAAAATGCGACGCGGTAACTAATGAACCATTAAGCTGGTTCTACATTAGGCACAGTGTAAGCGTGTCGCAAGCGTTGTGGTCCAATCAGAATCAAGCTAGATCGATGTTGATTGGACCGCAACGTTTGCGATGCAACTAATATAGAACCAGCTTTAGGAGCTATAAGCTTATTGGCTACCGCGTGAAGGAGCCTATCTCACCGCTGCGCCGCTCTGGTCTGTAAGCTCCTTTACATTTTGCCGCGCGGCAAGCGTTTCCGCGTCCAGTGTGCAGGAACCATGTTTGCAATTTGTAAGCGCAAGCGCGATCAGAACTGAGACTACTGAGAGTGCGCAGTGCGCTGGCAGATCGCAGGCACGAGGTTTGTTCACATCGCAAGCTCCAACAAGCTCCAACAAGCTCCAACATGCTTCTACCATAGTTCCTACTCACTTTATCAGGCGCGTTGGAGTGAGTAAGAGCTATAGTAGGAGCACATTGGAACATGTTGGAGCATGCGACGCGACAAACCTACAATTTCTTGAAATTGAAAATTTCTAATAGATATTTCTCAATTGTAATACATTATAATGGATCGTAATGGATATTAACATGAGTAATTATTCAGTTTAGCTACACGGTTTAAAAATCGATAAAATTATAACGCGTTTTTGCCTGAAATGAACGACTCTACAGAAAAAAAGCGTCGCTCTGCCTCACGAACCGAGAGATTAATCGTAGAATTTTTTTCTTTGTAAAAGACTTCCGGATAATGAAATTTGCCACGAGTATTGTGAAGTTATGATAATTTATATAATGTAGTGAACTGCGCATGCGCCAGAATCACGTGTGCGTGTTCTGTGGAGAACGTTCTGTTTCATTGCATGATGAATTATTTTATCTTTATGTTCACTAAATTTAAAAGAAAAATAAAATGACATATAATGCGAATTATGCATAAAATGAACCTTAGTTGCACTTTTTGTATTAAATCTTCGTTCTTCTTCATTTTATTACCTCGATCTTATACAGGATGCGATAACGATTAAATTAAATTTATGATAGTTATAATACAAATTTTTATCATATTTGGATAATTAATAAATAATTACTTTAATTTTATGACTTTTTTAATTTTTGACAAAGTTACTGATTATTTGAGAAAAATTGCGATCTTTCATTAACAAAAAATTTTTGTAAAATTTATCCGTATTTGAATAGATAGTAGGATATTACTTGTTGTATATTTAGATACTACTGCAAATATTGAATTCATCTTACTTTTATAAATGGAAAAGTATTATTAATGCACTAGTAGCCTTTTAATTTTCTACCATTACAGATGATATTTCATTGGTGTTATACATAATATATTACATATATTTTTAACTACAAACAAGATAAAATATACACTTCATAAATAAAAAAACTCATATTTTAAAAAGAAAATAAATAGAGAAGAGATGTATAACTATAAAAAAAAATAAATTTAAACTTGTTTACTAATTATTACATGTCCTATGTATCATATCATCAATTAGTAAAAAAAAATTATTTTACGAGATATACTTTCAGCAATTTAACGTTGCTTAAATAGTGTAGATATTACTACAGATTTAAGCGCATTTAATCATTCAGCGAACGAAACTTGTTTATATTGTTTGTTATTAGAAGACGCTGAAACTATCTTAGAATATCTTCGTAATTTGAACAGCGGGTTTAGATTCAATGATACAAAAAGTTTATAATCAGCGATAAAATTAAATGCACTTTATTGTCGTTCCTCAAACGTACTATTTGAGAACAAAGTAAAACTCAGCTGCTAGGATAGATATAGATGTATTTTACAAATTTAACGCATTTGAGAACGCGCAACGCCGTCGTCGCCCGAATGCATTAAGCTAAGGGCTTAATTCTATCTCGAGGTACAGCGAAAGAGGGTTTGTCGATGCGTGCGGATGATGGAGTGCATTATGTCGCGATGGAATGATAACGTGCGTGAGCGAACGGGGCTACGCATGCCGTTCGCGAATTAACTAAAGCGCTTCAGATCGTTGTATCCCTAGCTCTCCCAACGAATCCTTTCATCTTAACTGCTAATAAGTACGGACCTAAGTGGTTTTGTCTCTGATCAATCGTCTTTTCTTCTTTATTCGATTTATCTTGAAAAATTGCTCTTACGAAAAAAGCTCTAAAATTTCTGTATATGATTGTAAATACGTTGCTTTTATTGCTTTCGCATTATTGATTACTTATTCGTTGTCGCGTTTGGATTTTGATATTTTTAATGTCTACAATTGATAATCTTTATTTAATTATTTGAAAGAAGTCTATTTATTATATACCAAAAGAAAAAGAAATACGAAGGAAAGAATGGTTAATCAGAAACACTCCTCATGCGATACAAACTGCGAATGATGTATAACGAATATCATAAATGTTCCACGTATGTTGTGAGTCGAAGAGCACCGTAACAGAATTACTTTGAGTTCTTTTAAGCCTTTTGAATTTTAACATTTTTGACAACATAATGTCCGTGATATGTGCCGTTTGAATCTTGTTCATTTTAAATGAAATAATTCTGAAATCTGAAATTATAACTTGACGTTTTTTAAAGTTGAGTTACACGTTCACGCAGTCTGCCTTGCTGGCGGAAGTCGAACCGGCCGAAGAGGACGAAGCGACAGAATGTCTCCTGAGATAACCGGCAAATAGTTGCCGCGCCTGATTAAGTACACGAATCACATTGTGACGGCGAACCATCTTGTCGAAATGCATCGCCATCTCGTTATAATCCATTTGATTGCGCATAACAAAATCCCGATGTTGCAGCAGAAGAGTGATGCACAGGAACATTAGAAAGGGATTGCCGCCACCGAATTCGTGCGGTGGCGGCAACGAGCTTTCGCCCAGTTGGTCCTCGCTTGTTCCCGCAGGTATAAGATTAGTCAGTTCTGTTACTTCTTCGCATTGCTCTTGTACAGATTGTTGTTGTTGTTGTTGTTGTTGTGATTGTTGCTGTTGCTGCGGCTGCTGCTGCTGTTGTTTTGTTGGACTTTCTGGTACAGGTGGGTTCTGATGCCAACTCTCGGTTCCTTCGCTATCTGACGCCGACTCAGATCTGAAAGATGAACGAAGCGTTTTAATAAAAATAATGTAAAGAAACATATCTTCCTATAATTGGATATAATAGGGGAGAGTGGTTTAAATCGGACCATGTTCCAAATAGGACCTTTTTAATTTAAATGAATACGGTTAAGCAGATTTGTGTACTATTTATAATGTAAAGTCCGTATGAGACATCGAACATGTGATAGCAGTTTGACAGTTCTCTATCATAACATTCATAAAATAGAGGCAAATATGTATTTTCAGTCATCATGCGAAAATTTTTTTAAAAAAGAAAATCCTTGTAAATCATTATTTAAAAGGTGTTAAAAATTTCAAAAGTAATTGATTTAAGATAATTAAAGAGTGTAGAATTCAAAAATATCAAGCATTTCGTGATCACTTTTGCGGTTTATTATAAAAATTTGTTCCAAAGTTCGAAAGGACCCGTGTCCAAATCGGACAGTACAGTGAATAACTGATAGGCCTGGTTGTAGTACTGGTGATTGGCTGACTAGTTCTGGTCCAAGCAATTAAATCAGTAAAATATCATGAGTCATCAGACTCAGATTAGTTGAGTTTTATTGATTTCAATTCTAATAATATAAACAGTCAGTAATTTCTTTTTCCGAAAAAATTTTTAACTTTGACTGTCAAATTGCTCGTTTTTACTCAATACTAAGAGAAATACATTAAAATATTTTAAAATTTTATCTAAAAATCCATAAAAATAAGAGTTTTCGATCTAAACCAGGGGAAGGTCCGATTTAGACCACTCTCCCCTACTGATTTCTTTGAAATTTTAAAGATGCCGACAGAGCCTTTGACCTTGCATATTTATGCAGAAATATGAATTGTTCTATTATAGTGACATATATTACATATAGTGACATATATTACAATGACAAGATTTTATCATATATTTATTACTTCAGAAATATAAAGGAGATATATATAAATATAAAATGAATAAAGATATTTTCTATCGATACTTTGAAAGCGTTACATTAAAAAAAAAATGAAGAAGATAGGTAAAATTTATTAGAAAATAAAATCTCAAAGAGACTTTTAATTTAGAAGTTTTTCTCTGAGCAACTAAACTTTTAGCAGAAAGTTTATAAATTCTTTTTTATCTTATTAAGATTTTCAAATCTATAAATCTTTGTAAATGAAAATGTGTACCTACTTAGTGGTACGTTTGAGTAGCCTAATTGGCGTAACGGATTTCACGCCATTCTGATCCTCCAAAATTTCACCGTCGTATTCCAATTCCGCTTGCTCGTCCGGAGTCGTGGGGTGATGCTTCTGTTGTAACGTGTGTAAAGGATTTTCCCATACAAACACATCCGCCGCTGGACTGCATCTCGCCAATTCTGTTTCTGTCTCGCTCTCCGGTAAATCACTTTCTCTTTTTGAAAGCACGCAGTCGCATTGTAGCTCACTAGGCGGCGAAGGCCCAAACACTTGTCGATCTAACGATTCCAATTCTAATCTTAATTCTCTAGTCATCGACGTGGTCATCGGGAAAAAATCCGTAGGATCGTCTGGTGAACTTGGTTCATCCCTCAATACTCTGATGACGCCGCTCTCGCTCGAGACACGTCTGCGATAATGAAGTATAATAATTTTGAATCGCTTTAACTTTATGAAATACATGCAAGAATATCTTGAGCTACAAGAAATATTTTCTACGAAAGTAATTACCTGAGTTCAGGTTCGGCGTCGCTGGGCGTGACTTTACTACGATTGAGACTGGTAAAGTTTAAGAACTCATTTAAATTCTTTACCACTCGCGCACATTTCTTTTCACCAGAATTATCATTCTGTTCATTGTTTTTAGTCTGTTCTTTGTTAGGAGTACTCAGTCTTTCTTTCAATTCCAAAAGATTTGCGCGTTTCGATTTAACTGGAAGAGAATCAGTACTTAGGCACTTTTCTGTCGATTCATTATTCCTTCTGTTTTTTGTGCTGGTTAAATCATTCTCTGAATCGGAAAATACTTCATACGGCGAATTGGATCTGAAAATAGGCATTTGATTAGAAGAATTAAAGTTGTCGTTTATTGCATAAACTTTAATTAACAGTGCAAAAAAGAAAGAATCGAAAATTATTAAGTATTTTGTTTGTCTATAAATACTTTTCGTTTATATTTCTTTGTGTACATCTTCTATAAATTTGTCTATACATTTTCTATAAATTTTAGGATGCGTCCAGACTATCGAGCCGCGAGCCGTGCCGTGAGCCGAGCCGCGAGCTCGGCCTACATCCACATTATCGAAATGAATATAGGTTCACATCAAAGCTTTGAATGTGGATGAGGCTCGGCTCGCGGCTCGATAGTCTGAACGCACCCTTATATTTTATCCGAAAAGCAAAGTTTCGAAAACTGATTTCAAGTACAGAAACCTTTTCGTTTCTCCGTTAATCTCAGTAGATGATTGCAGACTCGGTTCTTCGGTACTGAAGGCCTTTCGCCTCACGCTAGCGGCAATACTGGCTGAGGAACTTTGTCGTCTAATAGCGCAAACCTTAGTATACGCGTTCTCGCGGATATGCTTTACATTCGGACTCGGCGGTGGCGATGTTGGCGGAAAAGGCACCTCGGCAAGACTCAGTTCGCCGGTCGGCGGTGACGCTGGTAAAGCTGCCCATAGAACCTCGAGCATTCTAAGTGCGTCGTCCAACGCAAACTCACGTTTCATTTCTAACAACAGCCAACGATAACAAAAGAGTAGATCGTCTGCTTGATGCGACTTCAAATATGCATAGAAATCAGGATCATAATGTTGAAGACCTGCAAAAAATATATCTTAATATTGATATAATGGCATTATCAAGGAGTATTATAAGATGAAAATATATTAAAATGAAAATGTAGATTACAGAGCATTGTGAACAAGATTGAAACTTAGAGAATAAATAAATTGCAAGACATTTTAAATGATAATCTACCTTCTGCGAGATGAGCGAATTTGGTAGTCATGGCGATACCATCGAGCATGAAGTTATCCTTCAATCTTCTCATGAGGGCGCAAAGGCAGATGTAAGCTTGCGCCTCATCCCGCATTATAACGAGAAGAGGTGAAGCCAAGTCGCTCATACCCTGACAGTAACTTACACTCGGGTGATTTAAGGCATATGTTGTCAGAATGTTAAAGAGACTCGCTGTGTTCTGATTGTCGTCCGAACCACCGTAAAACTTGTGATGCCTGTCCGTTCTGAGGACATCCTTCCTTACCATACCAGTGACGTAGCCGAGATCACCGACGTTCTGTCCCTTTTGCACTAGCACTCGCCATCGCTCGCGTAGATTTTGGTATTCCTGTGCCTTTTTCTTCATGTAATCCATCCGTTCGCGACCTGACATCCCCTCTGGGTACACGTTCAAGATATGTTTCCAGACTACCTTGCGTAAACTAGGTTCAATTCCGCCAAAATAAATAACTGCCCTTAATTCCTTGGAATGCACTACTTGGCCGATTGGATCCAGAAATCGACGAAATTCAGCGTCCGTCAAAGGTGGTCTTGGAGGTTGAACATTTTGCTGATGAGACGACTCGTCGCCTAAGTTGCCCAATGCCCGTTGCACCATATTCAGTGTCCTTTCCATCTGTGACGAAAGATTAAACGCGAAATTGGATACACCTGATAACTGTAATAATAATGAAAACAAAGAAATAACATAAAAAAAGGTAAAATAATAAAATATAATAAAAGTAATATACAAGGTGTCATATTTTAATTGACCACCTCAAATATCTTTTGAACAGTGCATTTTAGGGAAAAATATTTTAGACAAGTTTTGTGACTTCGAGGGGGACATAAGATGGTATAATACCATTGGTTTGAACTTGGGTGGCCTTCTCAAGGCTACGTCAATGTGACCGATGTTTTTTTAAATCTTCCATTTTTCAGTACGTGTTCTTGTAGTATACCTTGAGAACTTTCCAAAACACTATAATAAAATATTTTTTCATGAAGTTTGAGTTATAAGACTTGAAAGTTACAATATCGCCGACATTAGCATTACTCAAGGTACACAAACGTGCGATAGCTAAAACCTTTTGAATGTTATTCAAGGTCATGATACTGAACAACATTCAAAAAGTTGTAGCCATCGTCTGAGCATCTTAAGTAATGATAATGCCAGCGATACTATAACTTTCAAGCCTTATAACTCAAAAAGTACTTCATGAAAAAATATTTTATTATAGTGTTTTGGAAAGTTCTCGAGGTGTGCTACAAGAATATGTATTGAAAAGTGAAGAATTCAATTAAAAAAATTCAAGGTATCCTTGTCCTGATCTTGACAAGGCCACTCAAGATCAAACCAATGATACTATCTTATGTCCTCCTCGAAATCACAAAACTTTTGTCTAAAGTATTTTTCTCTAAAATGCACAGTTCAAGAGATATTTGAGGTGATCAATTAAAATGGGACACCCTGTATAAAAAATAAAGGAGGATTAATAATTTGAGAAATATGAAAAAAATGAATACCAACTTAAAAACTAAAATAATTTAAAAAGTATGATTCTCAAATGAAAAATATGAACTTAAGAGGAATTAATAAATTTTTGTGTTTTGCCTTTTTGATATTTCTCCAGAAGTACTAGGCGTTTGTGAAACCTTGAATGTTGTTTTACTGCTGATCGTCACTGACGCGACACGGCACTTACTTTATTCATTATGAGACCGGGTAACTTAGGTGTCCTGTAAGGAAACCCGGTCTCCTGCTGACGTGTCAAAACTTCCTGCGCATTTTGCTCCCAGTAGCACTCGCAGTCTCCAGTTTCACCGAAGGGTTTCAAATTCACCTGCAGATAGAGATATGGCTCCGATGCGCTGAAAAATAACATGTTAAATTAAAATGCTTATAATGTAGAATAGATTGTATGTTTTATTATTTATTAAATTATTATCTATTAAAATTAATCAATTTACTTGATAAAAATTAATTAATTAAGTCACCTGATAAACGCGGCATCCAAATCCCAGTCCGAGAGTAGGAAGAGATACGTCTCTGACCCATAGTCATCGATCGCTCGATACAAAACGGTAAATTCCCTACGGCACGCAAGCAATTTTTACGGCATTCGGTTTAATATTTTATGGTATGCTTAGATAAAAATATTTGTTTCGAGTAATTCTTTTGTGATGTTTTATGTTGTTACATGATGATTTGACTGATAAAAAATAGCATATGTATCAATATCAATCATATTATTATAGATAAAAAAAAGAAGAAAAGAATTATATATTGTTAAAATTAGAATATTATGTATTTCAATACAAATTAATTTACATATTAATAAAGATTGTATCTTTTTTTATCTAAAGATCTTAATTTAATTTTTTAAATATAACATATATATTATGAGTGCGTTTCCTTTTCATGCTCATACACTGTAAGCATCAGTTCACTCTTGTTATCTATCAAATATTAAACAAGAACAAATGATGCTTACATGCGCTAGAAGCGCAAAATGGGACGCACCCTGTTTAAGTGCAGCGTAATCACATTATTTACTTCACGTCGAAAAGTGTCAATAAGCGTTTAGTTTTTATTATCGAAATTCTCAAAATTTAATGCAATTTATTAGAAATGAGTAAAAAGGTGTAGCAATTTTTTTATTTATCGTGACACTTTTTTACATGAATCAGAAAAACGTAAACGCTCGCTTCGCATTTTTTGGAAAAAAAAATTATTTTCGATATTCAAACGATTCAAATATAATTCGACGTTCACACACAAATCATATTAGCAGATTTTCTTATTATTAATATAACTTACCCTTTTATGTCAAAAGCCTTTATGAGAATACTTTGCAATACTTCTATTGATGTTATTTGAGGATCCACGCTAAACTTACGGTATTCCGGTCGATGTCTAGTTTCACATTTCTGAAAAAAGAGGATCAAAGGATTCTATCATTATTTGTTGTTAATTCCATGTTTATAGTAGACATTCATAAAAACAGAAAAATTATATAGCCATACATGATACATTATTTTAATTGTATCATAATTAATTTATTATACCAATGACAAAAAAAAAATATTATAAAAATCTGTAATTTTACATAATGTAATTATATTAAATACATGATATATAAGATATTCTAGATTTTGTATAATAACAATTAACAGTAAACTCTTGAGATCATTTTGAAATAAATCTCAGTATTCCAATATCAAAATGTCAAAGCTATAATGATTTTGAAACAATAACTACTGAAAATTAACCAATTCAATTGTTCGACAATCACACATAATATATGCAGTAGTTCACACATACAATGCATAGTGAAGATGCTCTCAATCAATCCTATTCTTAAGATATAATAATTATAATTCTAAATATACATCACTGTTGTAGTTACTTCTTTTTTGCATTTTATTGTATTAATTACTAATTATAATATGTTAAACATTTCAATATTAATCATAGTAGAATAAAAACCGTTGAGTATATGAACAATGAAATATAATACATGTCAAAGCTATTACATGAAGAATAAATAAATGACATTCATTGCTGCTAATGAACCAGACCTATATTCTTTAACTCGTTATGCAGTCGTTATGTGTTCATAGTGACAGTTGCACAGTTTTTCACTACAAAAAAATATCCGCGCAACTGTCAATATGAGCACATAACGATTGCATAATGAGTTATAGAATACAGGGAAGAGCATATATTTCAAACAATTAGTTAGCTTCAAATATTTGTCATTTAAAAATCATTATATTCTTTTTGATATTAGAATTTTCATCTCAAAACGACTTTAGAAATCTGTTTTGTTGTCAAGCAAAATCTGGAATACTTACAAGGAGCTTGTCATGACTGTTCAAGCAGAATCAAATCGGTTCTGAACAGTTGTGACAAGATCTTTGTCAGTATAGTTATCATTGTAATTTGTTGTTCCACATTTTAAGTTCAGTATAATATAAACTCTGTATATAAAGATCTTTTATTATTTTATTAGAATAAAAATGTATGTTAATTTGAAATTTCTAATTGACCATACATACCTTGACTTTAACGCGTACAGCCTCTCTAGGACAACCAAACATATTGTATTCTATATTGGTCCTTTTTCAAATAAGTATAATATTTCAGGATGAATCTTCAGTTATCACCGTCACTTGCATTTTGCCAATTCTTTGTGCATTGACAATTCATATACATCATCAGATATTTACCAGTTTACCACGTACTTGACAGCAGTAAAACTGAATGAAAACTAAAAAATTGATAATTCAAGTTTAAAATAGTACAATATTGCAATTAATATATTGATAAGAAAATATTAACTGATAAGACAATGTATACTGATAAGAGAATATTGATAAACCAAAGAATATTTTCTTGTATAATAGTAAGTAGAGCATACTTGTAAGCATATTTATAAAGTAATATTACCATGACACATTAATAAATTATGAGATATTATCATCAATCATAAATTGTTACAATAAAATATTAATAATAGATATTTAAAACTTTGTTAATCAAGATTGAAAAGTGACTATCAAAAGCTACAGTTTCTCGCGATATAAATTATCACAATTCTCGAAATTTATATAACAAAACTCAAATAATAAACTTAATTTTTTAATACATAAATGTCTCCTTGTTGCCTTTAACAAATATATCAAATTTTTTTACTCACATCAGTACAATAGTAACATTATAATTAAAATCTGTGCTCCTCACCTTTATCTCATCATATATCTTTCAAAATTATTTAATTCACTATTCGACGTGACAATACTCTTCAGCCTCGATTAAATAATATTGCACGATATTTAGATAATGAACAATTACTCTAGGCTGTGTGCAGGTATTCCTCAATCCACGATGTGTGCTCCGGAGTGCAGAAGGCACTTCTCGCTGCAACGAGACATGCTCGCTTTCTAACTCGCCTAATTATACATTCAGTATAGTTATGTATCCCCCGGGAGTCGGTGAGAGCACGTAAAACATCGGGGGGTTCAGGGGCGTTGAGTCGTTGAGTGTCGGCGGGTGTCGACGTCGACAATCAATGTTTTGAACGGCGATCGCGACGGCGGTTGGCCCTTTGAAGCTGACGTCGGTGGCTAGCTGTTGTCAATGCCCGACGTTGAACGACGTTGTCATCATCATCGTTGCCATCGCCGTTGTAATGCCGCGCCGTAATAACGACTTGGTGTCCTCGATAACGAGGTTACAGTTGTCAATTGTCAATTGTATGCAATTGTATGCTCACTGAACACACTCGCACTCACTCGCACCGACTCGCACTGAATGTGTTCGATTTTTCAGGCCGCGGCAGTGGGCAGGGCCGACGCGTCGCGCTTCGTCGCCCCGCTCCACAAAGTTCGATCTTCCATAAAATATTCCACGTAATTCGGCAGACTGTTATTCAAAAATTGCTTTCCATTTTCACACAAATGATACTGAACCTAAAGTTGTGTGAGTATTTTATACTCACAAGGGAAATTTCACAACTGTCCGGAACCGTTTAACAATTGTTAACAAAAAATTAAAAACATTTTTTTTCTTCATATCATTATGAAGTACTCTTGAAACCGTACCACTTTTGTTTAAAAAAATTTTTTCCATCTTTTATACTTCCGACGGTATTCGGCTCGAAATAGAAATACCGTTTTATTTAAAAGGAGTGTTTCATCCCTTAAACATAAGTTAGCGCACGTATAAAAAAAATGTCTCTCTCTTAGATTTTCGTGTTTTACAACATATTTTATGGAGAATCAAATCGGTTCCGGACAGTTGTGAAACTTCCCTTGTCAGATAATGACGTCGCTCTTGATGCTTAAACTTTGGAGACAGGTGTAAGAAATTTAGAGGAAATAGGTACAACAGAGAAGCTATCAGCGTCAGGGCTATGTGGCTCAGTGGCAAGACGGAAGTCTACCATTTTAGAGGAGACCAGCAGTGGAATTCTGTAATTCGTTATGCAGTCGTTATGAGTTCATAACGACAGTTGCGCAGCTTTTTTACCATATAAAATATCTGCGCGACTGTATCAGTATGAGCACATAACGATTGCATAACGAGTTACAGAATTCCACTGCAGGGCGCCTATTCTTGAAAAGTATCGCATACGAAAAGCTAGAAAAATACTATAATATATACGTAACGTATACTATAATCCTCCGCAACTAAAGCTCCGGCTGGCGTAAAGGAGGCACGGCAGTGTCGCTGCGCTCAGCTGCGCTCAGTTTAGCATCGAGACACTATTGTGTCTCCTGATATTTTCCTAATTTTTCGTATACGTTTATTTTCAAGAATAGGGACCCAAGCCTCGGTTCGAATCTCGGAGCGCCCTGATATTTTTCTCGTGTTGTCACTTATTTCTTACAAAGGCTAGTTGCTTTCCTTTTAGAAGACACAGTCGACACAAATGTCGTTCTATCTTTGTTAATTTATTGAATGTCTATATTTCCTTTCTTTTTTCTTTTTCCTTCATTCCTATTTGGATTTAATTTCTGGCATTTATATTCTCGATGTAGGGGAGCTCACACTATGACAAGATAATTTTTATTCACAGTTTATATATGTATGTTAGTGTGTGTTGCCTCTGAAGAAGGCTCAAAAGTGAGCCGAAACACGTAAGCGCGTTTAATAGAATAAAGGAGTTTTATGCTTTATATGGGTGTATTATTTGCGCGACGTCTTCTGCGCCTAACTCCTATTGCCCTTATTTTTTCAAATTTCTTTTGATTTGTAAGGAGTCTTTGTTAGTTTGATTTATTATACGGATTTAATTTATTGAATGTCGAGAAAAATATAGAACGACGTTTATGTCGACTAGCTGTATCTCCTAAAAGGAAAGTAGTCTTTAAAATTATATATCGCACATAACAAATTTATAAATCTCACTTTTAATATAAGTTAATAAAACTCAGTAAAACACACTGTCTCAAGTTTATGCAGACGTATTAGGTAAAAACTCAGTTGAATATCATTTGTCAGAATGAAAAGGAACGTGCATACAACTAAGTTATATTTCGCAAATGAGAATTCTTTGAGTTTTGATGTAAATGGAAAACAACTAACGTCAATCTTGAAATTTTGCATGATTTACACTATGCTTATCCACAATATTGTATCATGAAATATAAAGTCATCTTGTGAATAGTTTACTACCTTCTCGATAGATATTAATGAATCGTAATACATATATCTATGCATGCGGAACAAAATATGGACCATTATGGACCGAAAGCTATATCTAATAGCACAGATCTTCAAGGGACGTTCCAAAGAATATTCAGAGGATATCCCTATGTCCTAAGAATGTTCGCTAGAATGTCCCTCGAATAAAGTGTGCTATTGAATTAAGATTGATAAATATAAAGTAGTACACAAGTAAAACGTAAAGAAACGTATTTTCATTTAATGCTGTTATAAAAATCCATAAATAAATCTTCAACTAGGTATAATTATTAATTTCGGCAAGAAATAAATTGCCTTTTTATACTTATTGATACCTTCTCAAGCACGCGCAAAGTGAACACATCTAAAGAGTGCAGTGCAAAATTAGCGCCAGTTAGCGCCGGGTATGAAGCGCGAAGTAAGCGCGATCTGTAGGTCCGCGACGTTGTCCATTCACAGCTGATTGCAGCTGATGTGGGTGACTACTTGACTGCACCTGAATTGACCTGAATACACCGGCGTTTGTTTATATGTATGTACGCGACGTGTAAGACGTAGGACTTCTCTAACAATGCATACTGACGTTCTAAGCGCGTGCCGAGTCGCGTAAGATTCGAAAACAATAGGACGAAAACGGATCCCTCGTCGATGATTCATGCGAGTACTTTCTCTTGGCGATAAGGTTATGTCCATGATCGTTGGTTGGACGACGGGTGCGACAGTATTCGGGCATACGCGTTTCACCGGCGCGCGAACACTCTCGCGATGATGAGGACTGCCGGTGTGCTGGATGGCCGCGAGTTCGGCAAGCGCGTGCGTCGTGTCCTGGACGGCAATTACTCGTACCGTAAGATCCTCCTAATTGTTCTGGTATGTGGCGGTCTGCTGCTGTACTTTGGCCCGCCCTTCGCGCAATGGCTTTTTTCTTCCACCAGGGAGCCTATAGAAGGTGAGTAATTCGTCAGTTTTGGTCTGATGAACATCAAAGAATTAACAGCCTCAAGTTTCTTTAAAAACTTCTTAAAATATTCATATAAATAGGACTATTATTCATTGTCAGTAATCAAAAGTAGATTAAAATGAATTGAAATTTTTATATGCATTTTAAGTTCATTGAATCCAAATTTGTTTCCATGCAAGCCATTTAAAATATATTTTAAATTCTACTATATTATAAAACAGAATCACTCGTAAGTCTTTATGTAGTAATTGTTATGGAAAAATGTTAATACGTATATTTTTCCACAGTATTTGAAGATCGTTGCATGAATGAGAGATTGGCTAGTTTCTACTTTGATGCTGTTGAATATAATGCAAATATTTTGCACAATCCTCCTAAGGAGAATGAACATTCTTATCTGCCATATATTGGCAACGGTATTTTCGGAGTTCCCGTTTCTCCAGAAGCCTGGCTGTATATTAAACATAGAAGAGCACTTTTACTGCCTGTACAGTGGCAACCACTGATCACGCATCCTATACCGAAAGACAGCTTTTACCGAGAAGCAACCGTTGTTCATTTTACAAATGGGATTGTTTATAAGTATCAGTGCCTTAGAGAGGGATATCACATAGAATTTCAATATTATGCACATAGAAGTCTCGATGGGATTTTGGTGCAGACTATAAAACTCTCTAATCCATTTTCACTTTCTCAAGAAATATCGCTGAAGCCACAGGAATCTATCCATTGGAGTAATTCTCACATAGAGCCCATTAGGTAAGCAAAGTGTTATTATAAATAATTAAATAAAAATTTATCAGTATTTTTTAAATTTATCGTCATCTATTTTGTCATGATAGAATTCAGGTCGATGGATTTAATCATGAGTACTCTTTTTTGTCTGGATTCGTATCTACGCCCAACTCCAACAAGATAATAGTTGTATCAATAATTTACAAGGTTCCACCTAAAATAGTGCAGGTGAAAGCACACAGTTCCATTAAATTGGAGTTTCTGTCAAGCATTCAATACAGCGAGCCAATCTTGTCCGAGCATTATCATGTAGAACGTGATGCGACTAAAAAGAAAGCAATTGAAGTAAGCAAACGAAGAATTCTTGAATTTATCGTTCTTTGTAAAAACATATATGCATCATTATTCTTTGTTGTGCAGTTTATAAGAAAGGCGATAGTGCGTCAACAACGTCTGAGAGAGGAACATATAAATCTCTGGCAGAGTTATTGGTACACGAGTCTAAGGATAAGTGATTCTAAGGCTGATGGTGCCATCAACGGTCACAAGATTAATTCTACCATGTATTACGTATTATCTCAGGTTTCACGGAGTGTTCAAGATGTTGAGAAAAACATTGCTATGAACGAAGGTTGTTATCGGGGTCATCATACCTTGTAAGTATGATGAAGAATTGTGTTTAAAAATAATTTACGCGTATTAATTATAATTCTTTTCGCTTAGGGACGCTCCTCGCTTATGGAAAGATACCTCGACCATTGACGCCGTGAACGAGATAGTAGAGGCATGGTTGATAACATTGGAGAAACAAGGTTGCTATCATTTAGTGATCGGAGGTCCTGCAGCTGTACAGCAGGCAATCGTGCTAAGTCTCGGTAGCCTGAGATTCAGTAATCA